GGGGTGGGAGGTGGGAGGCTGGGGTGGGAGTCTGGGGTGGGAGGCTGAGTCTGGGCTGGTGTGTATGATGATCTCTCCCAGGGGGCCATCATACCCTTTGCAAGCTCCTCCTCGGCCGACTTGGTGCCCTGCTTCCTCTTTGGCTTCACCAGCTTGGTGCAGATGGCCCCCTTGTCCCTGGTGTAGTGCTGTGGGGACCGGCAGCCGTGAGCCTCTGGCCTCCCCCACAGTCTCCTCAGCGGGGTGAGCAGAATCCCCCAGGTACCAGGCTAAGGTGAACGGGTTTCCATGGCAACAGTGGGGGTGCGGGATGGAAGGTGAGGGGCGGTGGGTGTCAACATGGGGCTCCCTGGGGAGGTGACCCCAATTCTAGAGACAAGTGAGGCTCCTGGAGACCCCCCTCCATCTCTCCACCCCTCCCGCTCCACCCCTCCCGCACAGTCACCTCCACCATGTCCATCAGATTGCAGAAGCACACGGCCTCGTCGATGGTGAGGTGGCCATCTCGATGCAGGACACGGTAGTGGATGACGTCTCGGCCGAAACTGACACACAGGACGTAGTCTCCGGGGTGACGAGCCGATTCCCGCACGAGGAACAGCCCGTCCTCGGGTGGCTGAAGCTGCTGCACAGCTTCCTGGCCCGAGATCTTGCCGTGGAACCATCTGGGAACCCGTGGGGACAGGATACGGCGTGGGGGAGGGGCGGCGGGGACCCTGATGCCACCCATCCCACCAGGGCGCCACTCACGGCATGAGACTGAGCTTGGGGTCTGCAGAGAGAGCCTCCCGCTGCCGCAGGGCGGCGGCCGCCAGCAGCCCCTCCTGCCCGCTCCCATGGTGCTTGGCGCGGTACCAACTCTTGTCCTGCACAGGGAGGGCGGGGGGGGGCCGGTGGGTGTCTGTCCTGGCACCTCTAAGTGCACCCCAACTACCCTTCGGCTCCCCCCTCACCTCACAGGCCTCCAAGATGGTCACCATGTCGCCCTTGCGGAAGGCCAGCTCACCCGGCTTGGGGCGCGAGTTCTCACACTTGGTCATACATTGAGTCCCAGGGGCCCAGCGCCGCTGAGGACAGGACAGAGGCAGGGGGATGTCAGGGACAGGAGGAAGGGGTGGAAATTGGGAGGGACGGGGAGACCTGAGAGAAACTGGGGGCTGGTGGAGCAGAGGACAGGACAAGGGCCTGGCGAAGACGCAGGCTTGCACTCAGGCAGCTGAGACAGGAGGATGCCAGACCAGCTAAAGGCCAGCCTGGGCTACAGTGAGACTTCTCTGACAAACTAAAAAATAACACTGGGTGTGGTGGCCCACACCTGTAATCCTGGAACTTGGGAGGCAGAGGCAGGAGGATCTCTGTGAGTTTGAGGCCAGCCTGGGCTACAGAGGGAGATCCAAGCCCCGGCACATTTATATGGTGAGGCCCTGTCTCAAAAGCAAAATAAAATAAAAATAAACCCCTGGGGGTGTCTAATATAGAGAAAAAAGGGGGGTGAGGATGGAAAGGAAGCGTGTTAGAGACAGACAGACAGACAGACCAGAATCACAGTCACAGGTAGAGGCCTGGGTGACCGGTCTGGCTCAGTCCCCGGGGACTTTTAGGGTTGGGAGCTTGCCCCGGGACGCACCCCGCTCCCACGGGGACAGCTGAGGAAGGCCTGGTGACTCGGGGCCCCACACTCACGGTTGGCATCCTAGCTGCGGCAGACGAGGGGTGCCAGGCCCGGAGGAATCGAGGGCTCACCTGTGGAGGAGGCAGCGTCATGCTGGGGGTGTCCCCAGGTCCAGGTCCTTCCTCTGGGCCTGGCTGGGTGGAGGCGGCACCAGGAGGCAGAGGCCCCTCACCATCCCTCAGGTGGCTTGGGTCGAGGTCCCCTCTGCAGCCCTCGGCTGTGGGAACTTATCTTTACCCGAGGGAAGTCCTTAGGCTCCCAGCCATCAAAGACCAGCCGGGAGACCCCAGAGCCTCGGCCTGCCATTGCTCGGGAAGGGAAACTGAGGCCCAGAGGCAGGAGTGCAGGAATCCGATGGCTCTGGTGGCAGCCAGGGCTGTGTGTGGGGAGGACAATGCCAGGAGCTGGGCCTTCAGCTTCCTCTTTTCTGGGCCGTGGCCAGGGGCGGTGACTCAAGGTCATTCCTGGGAATCTGACCCTGGGTGGAGCCTGGGGAGGCTTGGCTCCTAAGCCGCGGCTCCTCAGGTCATCAGGGGTCACCAAGGAAGTGTATGGAAGGACCCACACCACCCCAGCGCGGACACTGCAGGGCCGTGGCTGCCAAGGTCCCCAGCTGGTGGCTGGCAGGGTCAGGGCGGGAGATTGGGGTGCGCTTCTGGCCTCGGGCTCAGTGGGGTTTGCAGGGCAGCTGCGCGCAGGCGGAGGCGCACGTGCATCTGGGCACAGGTGCCACCCGGCCACCAGCGTGTGCGCGACACGGGGGCTGGCTAGACGCAGGCACCTGTGCGTGTGCCTGAGGCGCAAACGGGCCCTGCAGTGACCACCGGGGCGCGCGCACTCAGAGACGCGCACGCCGCACCCAGAAAAAAAAATATCCAGCGATGGCACCTGACGCCCCAGGGTCCAGGATCATTTTGGGGGGCGTCCCCTCTCCATCCGCGCGCACGCGCTCACCTGCTCAGGGCGCGACCCCGGGAGGGTCCCCGCCAGCGGGTAGTGTGCCCCAAGGCTGAACTCGGAGCAACTTGCTCCGCTTCCTCATTTTGGGGCGAGGATGGAGGGGACCCGGCTCGGAGCCCCTGCGGGTCCTAGCGCCGGCCGCACTGCGGGCTGCGCTGCCGCCGCCTCCCGCTCCGCCTCCTGCGCAGCCCAAGCGGGATGCTGGGTGCCAGGTGCCGGGTGCCCGGTGCCCTCTGGGTCCCCGCTGAGCCCCGGCCTTCCGTCGCCCACCCCAGGAAGGCTGGGAGCGCGGAATGGCTCGCGCACGCGCACGCGCAAGGAGTGGGAAGGAGCTCCCGGTTTGGGGAGGTGATGAAGGCAAGCAGCGCAGGGACAGCACAGAGGCCTCCACGCTGCAGTCCTGGCCTCCCGGCCTCGGCCTCCACTCCAGGCTGCGCCGTGAGCCTGACCCACGCACATACAAGTACTTTCAGAAATGCCAGGCACGCCCTGCTGTGGGGCCCTCAAATGCTCTCTCTCCCAGCACGCTGGAGTCCGAGGCAGGCGGATCTCTGTGAGTTCAAGGCCAGCCTGGGCTACATAGAGAGTGGAGGCGCTCAGTAGTGGAGGACAAGTTTGGACAGAAGTGCCTTGCACTGACGGATGTGGCACTTCCGGGAGCCACAGGTCGGTAATCACAAGTCCCCAGCAGGTGTGGGTACCCACTTAGGAATCCTTGGCCAGGGAGGTCCCCTGCAAGCCAGCTTCTGCTCTAGACTGACCCTATGGCTGACGACACCACACGTCTGAGTCACCGGAACCGGCCGGCCGGTTCCTCCCACACGCGGGAGCCGCTCCACCGAGGCCACGGTGGCCCGAGTTCCCGTAACCGGCTGCTCCGGATCGGATCTGACCCGACCTGCACAGGCGGCAGATGCGCCCCTCGTGCCCTGCCTACAAACCAGTCAGAGCCCAGGTTGGACACCCGCGGCCTCAGCAGCCCGCCCGCTGTTGCTCTGCCCAGTGAACTTTGTCCAGATGTTTGTTCTGGTACCTACAGTTAGCAAAGATCCAGAACTGGGGCCGGGGGGCTCGGTGGGCGGCTCACCGTGGAGTCCCAGGCCCGTCATCCCGGCACTGGGGGAGTAGAAGCAGCAGGGAAAAGGAGTTAAGGTCAGCCTCAGCCACAGAGATAACTTGAGGCCAGCCTGGGCTACCTGAGATCCTGTTGAAAAGCTTACGTGTTAAAAAGACGCTGTCCCTGAGGGTTGGGGTGCGCACCTGCAATTCCAAGCTTTTGGGGAGGCTGAGGCAGGAGGATGGAAAGATCAGGATACAGAGGGCACTGGGTAAAACAAACCCCATCAACAGTGTCTCTGTGCCCTGTGGTCTCAGAGGGGCTGGGTGGGGGCGTCTGGGGTGAGGCTCCCCCCTCATTGGGGGCCTGGGGCTGCCACTCAGGGGACACGAAGGACGCATTTCATCGTTAAAGCCATCACAGCTGCCTGAAATGGAGTCACAAAGGGAGCCGAGAAACCCGGCTGCCAGGAAGTTCTTACCCAGGCTGCTGACCGCGTCCTGTCCGGTGAAGCTCGCCTTCTGGACCCCTGATGTGGGAGGACATGAGCGTGCTAAGCACTGCTTCTGATGGGGCCGCAGGGGCTGCAGGGGCCGCAGGGGCCGCAGGGGCCGGGCTGCAGGGGCCGCATGGGCTGCAGGGGCTGCAGGGGCCGCAGGGGCCGCAGGGGCCGCAGGGGTCGCAGGGGCCCAGCACTGGCCCGATGTGCATGAAGCCCTGGGCTCTACCCCAGCACCGTCCAGGTGTGGTGCTGTGCGCCTGTCATCCCAGCAATGGAGAGACTGAGGCAGGAAGGTCAAGAGTTCAAGGCCAGCCTCAGAAACCCGGGGCGACTACATGAGACTCTGTCTAAAGAACAAATGTGAAATGTCCTAACACTTCTCTTTACGACAGTTTCACTCATAGCCCAGGCAAGCCTAGAACTCGTCATGCTCCTGCCTCAGCATCCTGAGTGCTGGATGACAGGTGTGTGCCACCACGCCCGGGTCTCCACCACGCCCGGGTCTCCACCATGTCTGGGTCTCCACCACGCCCGGCTCTCCACCATGCCCGGCTCTCCACACGGATTTTTATAAAGCCGCTTCTTTCTGCAGTGTCAGGAGCCATTTGCTTCCCTGTGTAGGGAGCGGGCACTGTGCCCACCTTGCAGATGGGGAAACTGAGGCCCTGGGACTTGCTGCCATCAATCAAGGCTCTGGGGACACCCAAGCGTCTCAGTTTCCATGGAGACCGCTCCCTTGCAGCCTGCAGCCTGGCCGGATCCTCCTGCCCCAATTAGCACGCCTTTAAATTTAGCTGCTCGGTGCTTCTCCTGCTAGGGGACTCCCGGATGCAGGGAAGGACAAGGCTTCCTGTGGGAAAATAACCCTCGCTCTCTTCGGGACCCAGGCGCTGTCGCCCTCCGCCCTCCTTTTTAGGTTCTGAGACAGGGCTTCACTGTGTAGCCCAGGCTGGCCCAGGACTCCGGGTCATATACACAAAGCCCACGAGGACTGGAGATAGCAGTCGGCTTCCTGTCATGTCTGCAGGAGAAAACGGGGATCGAAATGCGCTCACCCCCCCCCCCCCCCGAGTGTCAAAAAATCAGGACGTGGAGTAGGAGTGAGGACCCAGAGAGCGAGGCCGCCCCACACTGCACGCTTTCTCTGTGACACACGCGGTGAAGAGACCCCACTCCCAAGGGTTGTTCTCTGACCACGTGCGCGCTCACACACACGCACACACACACACACACACACACACACACGCACGCACGCGCGCACCGCACACGCGCGCTCACACGCTTTGTTATTGTTTTGGTTTTTCGAGACAAGGTTTCTCTGTATAGCCCAGGTTGGCCTCGAACTCACAGAGATCCGCCTGCCTCGGCCTCCCGAGTGCTGGGATTAAAGACGTGGCCACCACACCCAGCTCCGTTATAAAATTTTAACGCCTGACATACAAGTCACCGTTTTACCGTCTCAGTCCCGCGGCGCGGCATGGCTCTCGCTGCAGCTGATACCCCGACTGCCCCGTCCCACACTAACTCCATCCCCTCCCCTGCCCAGGGCCCTCTCTGAACCACTTCCTGTCTCTGTGGGTCTGATGACACCAACCCTGTGATGTGAGGTCCATGTCACTGGGCATCATGTCCTCCACCTGCGCTGGAGCAGTGGCCAGAACGCCCTTCACGGCTGCATAATATTCCAGCGAGTGGCTGGACCACATCATGCGTGCCCATTGGTTTCTTGGAAAAGTCTTTGTTGTCTCCTTCGCGGCTTTTTATTTTCAAAATGTCAGTGAACACGGGGTGGGGGAGGCCGGGGGTGTGCTGCGGTCCCGTCCCTTTCCTGCGGTCAGCGGCGAGTGACCTTGCGCACGCGGGTCTTCCCGACCGCTCCTGCCTGGGCCACGGTCCCGCCCACACGCGTGCGTCATCCGCCCACACTCACCGTGTCTCCTAGCAACGCTCCTCTGCATCCGCAGCCCGGGTCCAGCTCTCGTCACCGCCCCGGCGCTCGGTTTCCTGCCTTGTCTGAGGTCCAGCCTTGTGCCCTTGGCCCCCGCTGGCCTGCTGCGGGGTCCCCTGCCCCGCGGGGACGGGACTCGCAGCGGCAGGGTCAGTCGCCGCGGCTCCTGGCGGCCTCAGGGAGCTGCGCGGCCCAGACGGGACTCCATCTGGACTGAACTCACCAAATGCTGGATTTCGCAGTCGCGGAAGCTCGGTGGTTTGGGGTTGCTAGGCGGGTCCGACTTAACTCTTTGTCACCTGGTGTGGACTCATCTGCCTTCCCGGGGAGACACGGGTGGGCTTGGTGGAGGGGCTCGGTGCAGAGCCGTGGGGCGTGGTCCTCTGCTGTCACTGAACCTGGCCACCGAGGTCGCGGCCACCGGCCCTCCCCACCCGTGAGCCCGCCTAACTGTGAAGCACTGTCCCCCTTAACCAGCCGGAGCCGCGGGCTCTGGGCGCCACCAGGAAGACGCCTTCTCATTTGGTTACCCATGTGTGCCCGGCCAACTAGACCCAGCCCGCAGCGGGCGCTTTCCCGTCCGCGGTGACCCCGAGTCCCTGTTGGACTTTCTGCTATAGACGCTGGGCAGGGGTGGGTGGCGGGGTGGAGGCTGGGAGGGAGGCTGAGCTTCGGGGTTCCACTGGGAGGGGGCGCTCGAGGAGAAGGAAACTGGAAGGCAGGCTTTCCCAAGGCCTGGGGCCTGAGTGTCTCCCCGTGCTCCAGGGCGCCTCCTCCAGGAAGCCCGAGCACAGTGCTCCTGACCAGGACCTCCTCAGGCCCGGAGCTGGCATGCATCTGTGGGGGACTGTGCAGGGGGACTGTGCAGGGGGTAGCCATGGAGCTGCTGGGGGGGGGGCGCTGAAGCTCCGCCCACGCTCATGACGCAGCTTGGTGTGGGGAGACTGAGGCCTGTGGGCACCCCCACCCCCACCCCAGAGTGATGGACACGAAGGCCACACGCACACAGGCAGATCCGCTTTATTCCCATTCTGGCCAAGTTCTGGATGATTCTACAGACTCCAGGCGCTGCGCCATGTGCGAGCTGGTCTTTAAAGCCACAGGCAGAATGGAGCAGGGTTGAAGCCTTGGGTGGTACTGGGGGTTCGGGGGTGCCCACACCCAGTGGTCCGCAGGATAACCTGGGGCTAGCAGAAGGCACTCAGTGACTGGGGATCCACCGCGGGGTGACCGTGTCCCAGGGCCGTCTGTGTCCTCACAGCTGGGGTGCAGTAAGGGCTGTGTGAAGGATGTGGGTGGGTTTGGGGTCTGGGGAATCACGTTCTGTGCTCTCCACTCCCACTCCGTGACTTTAGAATCTTCCAGGCCACCCTTCCTGGCATTTCAAGGAAGCGATTCAGATCTCACCTGCTTCATATGACGTCAGGGGGGTTAGTAACAAGGAGTGGAGGTCGCTGCTACCTGGCTGGGGGTGGAGGTGGGGGTGGCAGAGCCATGGGCATGGGGGTCACCACAGCATTGTGAATGAACCTACAGACCCAATGGCAAAGGTGTCCCACATCAGGAGGAACCAGCAGCCGGAGGGCCCGCGCCAGTTCAGACCTGGGGTGATGGCTGGCTCATGGCAGCCCCGCTGTGCCCTGCCGGCCACGCTTCTTCTCCCCAGGGCCCTCCTGGGCCTGACTGGCCTCCCTCATCCTCTTCCGTGCCCGGGCCCCAAATCTGGTCCGTGGAGGTAACTGTTCCATGCGAAGGACCTTGTGTATCTGCCGGAAAGCCACGAGACGCAGGGCGCGCTGTGGACAGCGGGGTTCTGTCAGGGTGTGCCGGGGTGGCCCGGTGTGTGCCAGCCAGGCCTGCCATCTGCAGGGACCAGGGAGCAGGGCTGTCTGTTCCTTGTTACAGTTGCTGGTGCCAGGCATGGGCCTGCGGAATGCCACCTCTGGCTGCTGGCACTGGCTGGCCTGGAGCCTTGGGACACCACCTCTCCTTCCTGGCTGGGGGGACCCTGAATTCCATGTGAGACACCCGACTCTCCTGAAGGTGGCCGTGTGTGAAACCCTGGGTTTGTGCGGCTGAGACATTTCCTTTTGAGATTGGAGCTCATGTAGCCCAGGCCTGCCTCAAACTATATAACCAAGGATAGCCTAGAACTTCTGATCCTCCTGCCTCCACATCCTGCTGGGGCTGGAGCCCAGGGCTCTGTGTATGACGGGAGCACTGTAGACTCCGTGGCCAGGCGCTGTGTGTGACAGGGGAGCACTGTGGACTCCATGGCCAGGCGCTGTGTGTGACAGGGGAGCACTGTGGACTCCGTGGCCAGGCTCTGTGTATGACAGGGGAGACTGTGGACTCCGTGGCCAGGCTCTGTGTGTGACAGGGGAGCACTGTGGACTCCGTGGCCAGGCGCTGTGTATGACAGGGGAGCACTGTGGACTCCGTGGCCAGGCTCTGTGTATGATGGGAGCACTGTGGACTCCGTGGCCTAGGGTTCTGTGTATGACGGGGGAGCACTGTGGACTCCGTGGCCTAGGGTTCTGTGTATGACGGGGGAGCACTGTGGACTCTGTGGCCAGGCTCTGTGTATGACGGGGGAGACTGTGGACTCCGTGGCCAGGCTCTGTGTGTGACAGGGGAGCACTGTGGACTCCGTGGCCAGGCTCTGTGTGTGACAGGGGAGCACTGTGGACTCCGTGGCCAGGCTCTGTGTATGACGAGGAGCACTGTGGACTCCGTGGCAAGGCTCTGTGTATGACGGGGAGCACTGTGGACTCCGTGGCCAGGCTCTGTGTATGACGAGGAGCACTGTGGACTCCGTGGCCAGGCTCTGTGTGTGACAGGGGAGACTGTGGACTCCGTGGCCAGGCTCTGTGTGTGACAGGGGAGACTGTGGACTC